CCAAGCACTTTAAGAGCGGAGCCTAGACCTAACTGGTTTTGCTCAGTGGATAGAGCGTTGGCCTGCAGAATGAAGGGTCCCAGGTTTGGTTTTGGTCAAGGACACATGCCAGGGTGGTCCCAACCTTTTCCTTTTTTTTTTTTCTTCTCCCTTCCTGGACCTCTACTTCCCATTTTTTTCTCCATCCAGTTAATTCCTGTGGATCGTTTATTTCTGTGATTAGACATTCATTCACTTCTGTTATCCAAAAGTCCGGCCCTCAACCCCAGCCTGTCTGTCTGGTTCTTGCCAGGTTCCCAAATCCCGGCAGTGTGATTGGCATACAAAAGGCACCTATTGATCATTGTTTCTGTCAATAAGTGAATCAACCCAAGCAGCGACTGTGTCGGGGGAGAGCCCCAACGAAGAGAAAAAGGATCCCAAGGTCTTAAGGGATGCCCCGGCCCAGGTCCGGCTAATGTACTCCTGCAGGAACGCCTTCACCTTCGCCTTCGCCTTCGGCAAGGAGTACCACCTCGCCCGAATTCTGGTCCGCAGTAACCCAATCTCTCCTGTGGGCGGCGCTCCAAGCCGCAGTCGCCTAGTTCATCGCAAGGCATTGCGGAACTTGTAGTTTCCGTAGGCATATGCCCAAAGCGCTTGCGCATCAGAGGAGCGCGCGCCGTCAGTGTTTTGTGATTTTTTTCAAAGAGAGATCCAGGCGACAGCGTTCCAACCGAATACACCTCTTTAATCCACTCTGATTGAGCCAGCTCTGGAAAGAATCTTCTCTACGGGGGTCCTGGCGATTCCCTGAAAAGCGGCCGGAATAAGCACACCCCGCCCCGGAAGTAAGAGGCTTCTGGCGCGGTGCATTGTGGGGGGCGTAGTCCTCCTTCTCAGGCGGTCCTTCGCGGCGTCCCCGGGGCCGACTCCCGAGCGCAGGCGGGCGGCCTGGCGGGCTGCGCGGCGCGGGCCGGCGGGAAGCGTATTCTGGGCACGGGGTGCCGGGCCGGCCGGCCGTGCTGAACGGCAGTAGTGGGAAGCCACCCAAGGCCTTGCGCGGCGCCGCCCGTCGAGGGGCGGGCGGCGGCAGACAACCGGGCCGTCGAAGAGTTCAGGAGGCCGGTGGGCCGGGCCGCGCGGCGCAGCCATGCCAGGCTTTACGTGTTGCGTGCCGGGCTGCTACAACAACTCGCACCGGGACAAGGCTCTCCATTTCTACACGTTTCCCAAGGACGCTGAGCTGCGGCGCCTCTGGCTCAAGAACGTGTCTCGCGCTGGCGTCAGTGGATGCTTCTCCACCTTCCAGCCCACCACGGGTCACCGTCTCTGCAGCGTCCACTTCCAGGGCGGCCGCAAGACCTACACGGTACGTGTCCCCACCATCTTCCCGCTGCGCGGCGTTAACGAGCGCAAAGTAGCACGCAGACCCGCGGGGGCCGCAGCCGCTCGCCGCAGGCAGCAGCAGCAGCAGCAGCAACAACAGCAGCAACAGCAGCAGCAGCAGCAGCAGCAGCAGCAGCAGCAGCAGCATCCAACGCCGTCAGCTGCCCAGACCGCCCAGCTGCAGCCGAACCTGGTGTCTGCCTCTGCGGCTGTGCTCCTCACTCTTCAGGCGGCTGTGGACAGCAGCCAGGCTCCTGGATCCGTGCAGCAGGCATCCACTGCTCCCACCGGTGATGATGTGAAGCCCATCGATCTGACGGTGCAAGTGGAGTTCGCGGCCGCAGAGGGCGCAGCCGCCGCAGCTGCCGCGTCCGAGCTAGAGGCTGCCACCGCCGGGCTGGAGGCTGCCGAGTGCGCTATGGGCCCCCAGTTGGTGGTAGTGGGGGAAGAGGGCTTCCCTGATACTGGCTCCGACCACTCGTACTCGTTGTCGTCAGGCACCACGGAGGAGGAGCTCCTGCGCAAGCTGAACGAGCAGCGGGACATCTTGGCGCTGATGGAGGTGAAGATGAAGGAGATGAAGGGCAGCATCCGCCACCTGCGTCTCACCGAGGCCAAACTGCGCGAAGAGCTCCGAGAGAAGGATCGGCTGCTGGCCATGTCTGTCATCCGCAAGAAGCACGGGATGTGAACGGGTCCCCCTGGGACTCCCCGGGCCCTGCCAGCCCAGGATGCCTGCAGGCCGCCATTGCGAACTCACCTATACTCCTGGGACACTGGTTGACTGTACTGAGGCTTAGGGCAGCTGGACTGTTGCTGGTGACTTGGCACCCTTGTTGTTTCCTCTTGAAGTCTGGGACCTTGGACTCTGCTCTGGTGACACCAGCAGTTAATGACTTTGTTTCCCCCACATCCCCGTCTCCTGTTAATGTTGTGGGTTCTGGTTAAGCAGAGGCTTAGGAACCGCTGAACTTGAAACTTACCCGGTAGGGAGGCAGGTGGGATGCCCAAGGACTGGTTTTGGGAAGACAACACCTTGAGGTTTGCCAGCAATCAGAGACAGCTCTTCTGTGTGTAGTGATAAGGGAGCCAAGTGACATCAGTTCTCCTTTTCATGCTTTTCTTTCCCAGGGGCAGCCTGTGATTCTGGTAGGAGCTGGCAGATCTGTGCCTCTGCCTCCCAGGACCTCCCTCCGCAGGAGGCCATCTGTAAGGGGATCGAGGTGACATGCTGATGGAGATCCAGCTTGCCAGGGACTTAGGTTTATCTTGTTATGTTTGCTACTGGTTACAAATTCTATTTTCTGTACAATTAGTCAGACTAAAGTTTTCACTGTGTTTGTTTGGCAAAATGAATTAAACAGAAGGTAAGGTTTTTACTTGGGTTTCGCCGTTTTATTTTTATAAGGATTCAGCTAAGTGGCTCTGAAACATGGGGGAAATAGGCCAAGGCCTGGTCTCAAGGAACAGGCTGACTCGGAGCAGAGATGGTCTCTCCATAAAGGTGTCCTAAGCACAAGGACCCTGGCCTCTTAAGGTCCTCACGGACTTACTGGCTCAAAATGGTCCCAGTTTGTCCATGGGCGAGCAGCCTGTGTTCTTTTAACGGGGGAAGGAACAACGGGGAACTATACTGAATTGTGACTGTTTGCTTCTCTGAGGGTTTTGAATTCCCAGGTTATCAGCCAGGGTTGAATTTTGCCCACCATTGTAGCCCTTAGTCTTGGTACAGTGTCTAATCCACGTGGGCATTCAATTACTCAAATCAGTGAGGACCACAGTGAGAACCAGCCATTTTGGCGCCTGCAGGCACAAGGACTCTTGTACAAATACCTTTCGCCTTGGTACTCTCAGTATGAATTATCCATACAAGCTTTAAGGACCAGGAGTTGGGATTTGTGACTCGACTCATTTTCATGGCTGTTTGCATCTTTCTTAAGATTGGGTATTGTAGGGGTGAGATAACATTTGTATCTGTAGCTCCAAGTAATTTTGCTCAAATCCAGTAGGGAAAAGCAAATGCCTCTAAAGCTAGCCCTGTTTATTAACAGGGCTGAAATGGACAATTCTTGAGCTCCATAAAAACATCATTCCCTTCTCTGTTACTTATGGGCAAAGCCACTTGCCTGGAGACTTTCCCTTTGGTTGCGAACTGAAAGGACTCTGAAATGTTTCTCAGTCTCTGCTCTTCTCTTTGGCACTGACTTGAGAAACATTTTTGGTGGGGAGGCAGGGTGGGCATAGGTTGTGTGGGTGCCTGGTTGGGGAAGAGACTGGATCTCTGCCTTTTCTAGATTTCTGGCTAGTAACAAGGTGGTGGGAGCATAGCAGTGCCCTTCGAGGCCAGCTGGAACTGAAACCTTTTGCCTTCAGCTATTGGCCAGTCTCTCACATGTCCTCACTGAAGCACTAGGAGGGATTTCCTAGGCTCAGACCATGCTCTTTAGTGTATCTTCTAGCTCCATTTTGTTAAAGGGACTGAACATTGTTTCTGCTCTGGCTCATGCGAACCTCTCAGCAGCACTCCCAGGACTTGAGTGAGGGCCAGGACTTGAGTCTCTGGAGGTAATGTGTACATAGTATTTTTGCTTCTTGGGAGGACAGCTCAGAGCAAGGGAGGTCCCAGATGCACCACAAGCAGGACAATGCAGAGTTCTTACTGGCTGAGTAATAAGCATGAGGCAAAGTATTGAGATAGTACAGACCTGGAATTTAATAAGCTTGGCCTAGTCTTACCAGCCACCACTAGGAGGGTGGGGTCAGGTCAGGTCGGTGAAGGTTCAAAACTCTTCTGGAAGAACAGGAGTACTGGGAGATCTCTGGCCTGGAGCTGCCAGGGGAAGCCTTGTAGCTATTTCCCTTACCTATGCCTCTTCCCCAACCCTGCACTGGTAAACTAGGGCATTTCCACCTACCCGCCTGACCCAGAGGCTGGCCTTCCATGTTTGCGTTGCCCAGGAAACAACTAAAATAGGAGTTGAAAGGAAAGGGCAATCTGGTCATTTAAGTCACGAGGAAATGTGGGGTGAGCCAGATACTTCTCTTTTCTCATTAATAAAAATTAAACACTTAGCTGTCTGCCTGTATAAAAAAAAAATGTCTTGGAGATTTTAGTTGTACACGTCTAAGAGAAATCTAGTCTGCAGCTGAGCCCCACCTTGAGGAACATTTGAGTCTACAGCCCGTGGAGAAAGTTGCCTGCTCGAAAAAGCCGCTTCGGGCCCGAATAGTGGTGGGCAGGGCGCAGAAGCCATGGGTTCTGCCTCGGGTTGGCCTGGAGCACCTCTCGGAGCACTAAAGAGGAGGGGGGTTCCCGAGCGGAAACGGCGCGGGGCCCTGGGAGGGACGGCTGGGCGTGTCTGGGGCCAACCTAGGATCCCATGGAGGCGTGGCCAACCCTTAGACAGCGGCGCAGCCTGGGTGGGGTCGGACCAGCTGGGACCTGGTGACAACAAACCCTGACCCTCGCCTGGCGCCAAGTTCGGATGTTCCAGAGGCTTCCGCTAGACCACAATTCTCAGGGGCTTGCCCCGGCAGCCGCCCTCCCGGGCTTAGCCTCACCTCCCGCGCTGCGGTCCGTGTCTGGGCCTCGGCGCAGAGCACGCCGGGAATTGTAGTTCTCTCTCGGAGTACCTATGCCAGAAAGGAGCGCGGGGAGGACTGCGTTTCCCAGAGTGCAGCGGGGGTCGCGAGGGAAGGTAGGGGGGAAGGGACAGTCGGTCGCCGACCGCGCTGGGTTGCCGCCGCCGCTGCCGCCATCGTGCCAGCCCCTCGGGTGAGTGTCGGGGTTAGCGTGCCGGGGCGGGGGCTGGGACGCAAGAGCCGCTCTCCCGGTCGCCTGGAGCCTCCGCTGCGAGTCCCCGGGCGGCCCCTCCCCTCCTCCCCCCCTGGCGGCCCGAAGCCGCGCGGGGCCGGGGCCATGTGTCGCGCGCGACTCCGCCTCCCGCCGGTCCTCTGAGACGGCGGCTGGGGGAAGTACCGAGACATCCAGGCTTCTATCCAGGAGGTACCGTGCACATGGCGGGAGCACTGGACTGCGCTAGGATGGGGTCTTTTTCTCTTGTCCTGACTATTCAGACGGGGCTCTTCGGGCTCCGCCCCGTCTGGCCTAACCCGGCCTGCCCAAGTCCCGCAAGTTCTGCAGGCTGGTCAATGGGTCGACCCCAGCCCCACGTCCTGCTACCCACCTGCGGAGGATCCGGAGATGGGCAAGCATTCTCCAGCCCACTCCGGAGTCAGCATTGGGTAAGGGCGCCCGTCTACAGCAGCCCGGGCTTAGGACTCTTAACTCTGTTCCCGACCGGCCTGGCTGGGATGTAGGATGCTTGTCTACAAGCCCGCTGGGAGTGCACGAAGTCTAACTCCCCCTCCCAACTCTGGGACTCATCTGTAAATTCTGCATGGAGGGGAGAGTCAAGTAATCTGGAGTTGGAGGGAGTTTCACGTGGGACTTCACCTCTGATCAGCCTTGGAAGAACTGGCCTGATGTGATACGGCAGGTCCAGGTTGGATGGTTCAGCCCCCGCCCTCTCTCTCTCTCTGTCTCTCTCTCTGTCTCTCTCTCTCTCTCTCTCTCTCTCTCTCTCTCTCTCTCTCTCTCTCTCTCTGTCTCTCTCTCTCTCTCTCTCTCTCTCTCTCTCTCTCTCTCTCTGTGTGTGTGTGACCAGGTTCCAGCTGTGGTGGCTTGGCCAGCCGTTTTAGTGGAGGAAGGAAGCCAAGGAGGTGAGGTTAGATGGCTGAGCCTCCAGCACAGTATTAGACCTCGGCACAGCCTAATCCTTATACCTGCCCCTCCCAGAGTTCTGTGGCCTCCTCCCAGAGGAGAATGACTCCATAAGAATGATAAGAATGGCGGTGAAACGGTGGAATTCAAAGAAGGGGGAAGTGGATTCCAGGCCTGAGGTCCAGGAACCCAGTGCCAAACAAGAAACTCGACTGGGAAACAACATTGGGGGTGAATCACATTTGGGCTGTGGGGCTCAGATACAGACTCTGTGAGGCCTTCTGAAGCTGGGGTAGCAGACCTAGAGTTGAAAGCTGCAGGAAGTCAGATTTCCCTTACTTGCATTTTCACTTCTCAGCTGCTGGATTGATTGGTGAACAGGCAGTAAATTGGCTGGGCTTTAGGAAATTGTCCTTGATGGCTCCAGGGACCCCTTAAGTTCTGGGAGGAGTGGAGTATCTAGCCATTGAGTAGTCGTCTGATAAGCTTTGTAAAGGTCCTTCTGATTGAATGGTTATATAATAGACCTGTCCAGAGAAGACTATGGGATTTTGGGAAGACACAACTTGTCAAGCCTTGATTCCTCTGACCCAGTGTGGCTTCTGGGCCACAGTTCTCATAGAAGAGTTGAGTTAGGCCCATGGAGCAGAAAGTCTCCACCTCTGGACTTTCCCTCCTTCCAGTGATTTTCCCCCTGATCATTGGGCTTTAGCCTTGGAAGTTTCCTGCAGTTGAATTGCTCTATCTAGTCATTCTCGCTGGTTAGGGAGGACAGGCAAGGGTTAGACTTCTCTGAACTCAATCTTGCCAATCCACCTCCCAGCGCATGAGACAGGGAAGTCAGGTTTATTCTGCAGGTTCAGGAGAGGCCTGCTTTGCCAATGGTGGGATTACCCACAGGACACAGGATCCATGTGGTGGAATCTCTTATTGCTAAAAGCAGTTTGTTGCATGACTCTCTACATCAAGCATGTCAAAGCCCTCTGGCCACGAGTTTGACATGCTTGTTCTACATTGTCTGGATTAGTTCTTTCTAGAATAGATAAGTTTCAGGTGAGCTGGGCTTGAGGCTATGGGTTAGTTTTGCACATTTTGAAGGCCCTGGGTGGCTTGATCACAAGAGTTTTCTACAAGGTAAAAAAAAAGATACTGTTCTTCTCCAAAGTTGCATGGAAATGGGAATTCAGGTCCCTCCCTCTCATTCCAGTCCTTTTAGAAGTTCCTTATAACTTCTCTGTCTGGAGTCAGCACATTATTGCTAGGTATCTTGATCCCCCAGAAGCCCTTGACCTTTCTGGAACTTGGCAAGCCATCTGGGTCTCAGAGATAAGAGAAGAACCGGGAAGTTCTCCAGAATCATTCTGCATCTTCTACTCTTTCTATTTCAGAGAGTGGAAGGGGGAGAGAGAGAGAGAAAACAATGCTGAGAGAGAATCATCAACTGGTTGCCTCCTGCATGCCACCTACTGGGGATCGAGCTGCAACCGGGTATTTGCTCATTCATTCTGTGAATCAGACTCATGCTCAAGCACTGAGCCACTCCCACTGAGCTGCATTTTCTATGGTCTGATTTGGAAAGAGGCCTGGCACAGTGCATTTGGATGTGTCTACATAAGCATGGGGGCATGGTGCGAGGATGACTGGGTTCTGAATCAGCTCAAAACTAGGAGCCTTCCTTTCCACTCTGAGCCATGTCTCACTTTATCCTGTTGTCTATAGTTGGTGGGTTTGGATGGGATGAATGATTTAAAAGAGAGAGAGAATTCTCAAATCTTAGAACTGGAAGGCACCTTATATAAAAAAATCCTAGGACTCCTTTACTGAGGCATTAGTATCTTCCTTGAAATTATTTTTTTTCTCCTTTCTCACTAATGATCAGTTTTATTCAGCAACCATTCTTTGGGCCCTTTCTGTGTGTCAGGCTCTGGGCTGAGGCTGGAGGTAGAATCCTGCCGAAACCGGTTTGGCTCAGTGGTAGAGCGTTTGTCTGCGGACTGAAAGGTCCCAGGTTCGATTCCAGTCAAGGGCTTATACACTGGTTGCGGGCACATCTTTGGTAGGAGGTGTGCAGGAGGCGGCTGGTCGATGTTTCTCTCTCATCGATGTTTCTGGCTCTCTATCTCTCTCCCTTCCTCTCTGTAAAAAATCAATAAAATATCTTTAAAAAAAAAAAGAAAAGAAAAGAAAGAAAAAGAAAAATGAATCCTGTCCAGGCCTGGTGAAAGGGTAATGCTGTTTTGTGCTGAGGACTAAATTGATGGGACCCATAGGGGCTCTTGGCCCTTACAGAAGAGGGGACTTCTAAATGATTAGAGCACTAAAGAGGAAAGGTTGTTAGTGAGTCCAATCCTTCAGTACAGAGAGCAAGGTATACCTCCAAAATGGTGGGCCCTGGAAGGTCTGGGTCCTTTAGGCGAAGCTGTCACTACTTTAAATTGTGTGGCTGTTGAATCTACTTGCTGTCTTCTATAGCCTGCTCTTCATCCCTTAGATCTCTGCGGGTAGTCTTCCAGTGCCTGGGAGTTTCACCAGCTTTTTGTGCTCTGTGGCCTTCCTGTTATTCCCTGCCTGGAGTCTGGGCTTCACTGAGACCCTCTCAGGTCACTTTTATTAAAATGCCCAATTCTCCTGGAATGGTACCTATCAGGACACCTTCCCCCAGTGACACAGAGGCACCCTCCCAGGATGAAAGGGAATAGCTCTTTTGGAGAGAGAGGGGTGGATGGATCCAAAAAGATTTCACAGGATGGATATTGAAATGAAAGTTGGGCAGGATTTCTATGGGCTGGGTTGAGCTGAAAAACCTCTTTATGGGCTTTTTTCCATCCTTAATATTTTCTTATGGGCCATTTGAGGAAGCTTGTGTTTTGAATTGAATTTGAGTTGGCTGCATTGAGATTCTGTGATTTTCTTGCTTTGACCATATGCAGCAGGAATTCTTTTTAAAAAATATATATTTTATTGAGTTTTTACAGAAAGGAAGGGAGAGGGATAGAGTTAGAAACATTGATGAGAGAGAAACATCGATCAGCTGCCTCCTGCACAACCCCTGTGAGGATGTGCCTGCAACCAAGGTACATGTCCTTGACTGGAATCGAACCTGGGACCCTTCAGTTCGCAGGACAACGCTCTATCCTCTGAGCCAAACCAGTTAGGGCGTGTAGCAGGAATTCTTGACTCCCTCCCTGAGGGAGACAGCAGAGTGTGGGTTATCCCTGGAATAACTTCCAGGACTTCGTGATACTCTGGTCAGCACCCTGACCATCAGTTCTGTGTGGCACCTTCCTTCTTACCCTATCCACTGGAATGTATCTTCCTCAAAAGAATCCTTTGTTTAGGTCTGGCTGTGACTAGGGAAGGTCTTAGTGGCCAGGGGAAAGGGACGCAAGAGGGTCCCTGCTCACTGACCCCAGGGCTCCCATCACTGGCTGATGGAGAACTTCCTGTGACTGCCCTGGGCCTTATTTCTTATTTGCTGCTGTCACTCGCTTGGTGCAAACTCCCTAAGCTCTAGTCTGGAGAGGGGCCTACCTTGAGAAAGAGAACCCCTTTCAGGAGAGGAATGTTTCCAAGGCATGGGAATTGAGGGCTGTTTGCCTCAGTAAACGGGTAATTCTAACGTGCTTGTTCCTTAAAAATTCAGATAGGCCATCGGAGCCACTGAATCTCACCAGGGCAGAAACTGCTGCCCCTGGAAGCATGTCTGTGTATAGAGACATTGGTCCCACTTACAGAGGGAGTTTCAGGCCCAGGAGAATGGAAGTTCTCACTTGTTCCTATGCTGTCAACCTGCTTTGACCAGCTAAGCACGCACTCAGCGGCTTTCTGTCCTGCGGGGCGTGGAACATGCTGATTTCAGAGGAGAGAAAAAGGCCTAGGCTCCGTCCCTCACCACCTCATTTTGCTACCGATATGCTTTTTGTTATTTGACGTTGGCTTGCAGCTCTTCCAGTCTAGGCCAGCTTTGTGGACATTTGAATTTGTTCTTAACCTCTTGGTTTCCTCACCTGCAGAGCGATGATAACCATGCCAGCTCTGTAGGCTCGGCAGTG